GAAGACAACGTTGCATGTTTTCCCTCTGGTGCCATCCACCTTTTAAAAACTTATATTACATTTATTTATTTATTTATTTATTTATTTATTTATTTATTTATTTATTTATTTATGAGGAGGAGTGGGCATGGGGAGGTAAAAGGACCGTTTGAAGGCTTTGGCTCTCTCCCACTACCATTTAGGTTCCTGGGGATTGAACTCAGGTCACCAGACTTTCCAGGAAGGGTCTTTTCCAGCTGAATGACATCAGGATCCCTGTCCATCTTGTCTTGAGGGACTGTCTCACTGGCCCGGACACACCGACTACGCTAGGCTGGCTGGCCACCAAGCCCCGGGGATCGGTCCATTCTACCTCCTCACTTCTGTCCCTGCAAGCAAGCCCCGCCACACCCAGCTTTTCCCATATGGGTTCTGGGGCTCACACTCAGGACCTCATGTTTGTAAAGCAAGCCTTTTTCCAACTGAGCTATCCTTCCAGCCCCAATCCTGTATTTATTTATTTTTAAGGGGTGATGGGATATAATGGACTCTTCAAGTTCCCTCCATACCTCTTTGCTCAGGCTTCAAGATCTGGAACTCCCTTTTCTAGCCCACTATTTTCTTCAGAGACAAAGACCCGCCTTCGGGGAGAATGGTTTAATAAATTATATGGACGGAAAGAATGTGCAGGCATGGGTTGCAGGAGACCACAGGAAAAGCGACTCCCTTCAGCCTCCGATTCAAGGAGGCTGATCTGGTGAAATAGCGGGGTGAGGGGGGCAGGTGCCTGCCTGCCTTTGATCCTCGGGTAGCAGAATTCCAGACCCTGATTCCTTCTTCCGAATCCAGGTTCCAGCCTGTTTCTTTGAGACCCTGTCTACACCCAGGCCACAGCCACCTCCACTCAAAGAACAGGAAATCCCCCTTGTCATCCCTGTCCTCAGGCTCCGGGCTCCCACAGGGCTCATAGTGGAAGTACATCAGTCCCATCCTGTCCTTGGGCTGGGGAGGCTGAGACTCCAGCCCTCAGTTCTGTTGGAGGTCTGGGTATCTGGGCTCCAGCAGGGGTCCATATCCAGCCTGACTATTTCTGTGTGTAGGCTCAGCACCCAGTAGCCGAGGCCTCAGACTCATGGGCCCTGATGGCTGCTGCATTCTCGTAGATGTAGCTGGACACATTCTCATATGTTGTCTCCTTCAGGATAAGGTCCGGGGCTGACTGCTGGAGGTATCTCAAGATGCACTGGTGAAGAAATACATACTGGGCCTGGGGAGGATGCAGAGAGATGAGGAATGCTTCCCAAAGGGTCCCTCATCCCCCCCCCACACCATGCCCCCGTCCCCTCAGAGACCCGCACCTCTGTCTGCACCATCAGTGGCCGGCTCTCTCTCATCTTCTTCACGAAGCTGAAGGGACCCACCAGACCCTTACAGTCCAGCTGTCGGAGCAGGACGTCCAGCGCGATGAGAGTACCTGTCTGGCCCACGCCAGCACTAAGCAAGGGACAGAACAGGGGTTAGGCCTCCAGAGGGGAGGGAATTCTGGAGTCCTAGCAGCTGAGACTGTATGGTTCAAATCTTAGATGGTCTTGTTGTTGTTTCTTTGTTTATTATATATACAGTGTTCTGCCTGCATGTGACCCTGCAGGCCAGCAGAGGGCACTAGACCTCATTATAGATGCTTATGAGCCACCATGTGGTTGCTGGGAATTGAACCTAGGACCTCTGGAAGAGCAGCCAGTGCACCTAACCTCTGAGCCATCTCTCCAGTCCTTAGATGGTCTTTTAATAAAAAACCCAAAGACAGCTATCAGGGTGAAAGCTGAAAGATCAGAGAAGCAGAACAGCCAGCCACTAGTTCTCACCTCTACAAAATCCTGAAGAGAGAGTTCCTGTCTCCTCGTGCTTTATCTATCTTTCTCTGTCCTGCCATATTACTTCCTGGGATTAAATGCCTGTGTGCTTCCCAAGCAAAGGCATGAGATCTCAAGTGCTGGGATTAAAGCTGTGTGCCACCACTGCCTGGCTCTGTTTCTCTCCTATACTGGATCAATCTCATG